GTCGCAAGGTGGTGGCAGTCATGCTGGTGGCGGCAATGCAAGTAGTGGTGGCGGCGGCGCTGGAAGGTGGTGGCTGGTGGTGGTTGCGTCTGCGGCAGTGTAGGCGGTAGGGGTGACGGTGGCGGCACACGGAGGCCACCTTGCCCCTCCGGGTTGCCACCTCTGAGGTCCACAAAACCGGGAGGAATCATGGGCAGCAGAGGAAGCTCTCACGACAGGGTGGGGCGGGGGGTGACTAGTCGCCAGCGCCTCGCCGCTCTGACTGCACCGGCACAAATAACAAGACCGCCGTGTCGCAAGCACCTCCGCTGGCGCACTGCAGGCGCACGATAAAACGGATAGGGGCGCCGCGGTGGCTCGGGGATGTTTACTCCCTCGCCTGGTACGCAGGAGGTCGTGGGTTCGAACCCGACCATGACGCCTGCTGTATGTTTGGAGTTTGCGTGTCTCTCTCCGCGGTCGCGTGGATTTTTCCCCCCGGGTCCTCCGGTTTTTCCCCCCACATTTAGAACCGACATCACACGCTTAGAGTATTTTACCGCCATACATTTCCACGTGAAGGTAAGCCACTTTATTGAGCTGTCATTTGTGATGACCAGGTCGCCTCTCAGAAAGATCTACGCAGCTCAGTGGGTCTTACCTGGTAAAATAACAAATACAGTTTCGAACGAGATCTGAAATGGCAGTGACGGCCGCTTTATCAACCCGTCCCTGGGAATATTCGCACCTCGACCAGACATGGCTGCCTCCTCGGCGCGACGAACATCCTGGGACAACCGGGGGACAGGTGGCAACCCCCCCCTCTCTCCCCAGCACCCCGTGAGGGGGGGTGGGTGGCGTGGGGGGGGCTACTTGCTGGGAGATCGCTCCTCTCAAATTCTCATTTCGAGCTCCGCACCGCGCACAGCTGAGCCCCTCGCCACCGCCGCCTTGATTCCTCACGGAGCCACGAGCAGCGCGAGGGAGGGGAATGCGCAGGAAGCGGCCGCTTGAAAGTACGCACGGCGGCAGCCGAACCGTGCCGGCCGTACGAATGTAATTATCGGTACAAACGTCACAACACGGCTGTTGAATGCTACCCAATAAAAATTAGGATTTTCATTGACATCCCATACGTTTCATGGACCTCCCATGCGTTGCGAGTATTTGACTGCTCTACATTTCCACGTGATGAGCCACTTCGTTGAGCTGTCATTCGTGATAGCCAGGCCGCTTCAGAAAAAGAGCTGTGTAGCTCAGTGCGGCTTTACAATAATTGATTCTAGATTTGAAGTTTTCGTGACTGCAATGATGCATATTCTTAGGTTTTTTAGGTAAAGTCACTTAGGTAAAAACATTTACTTTTTAATGTTTTTACCTACGTGACTTTACCGAAAAAACCTAAGAATACAATAGTTGATGTGTTTTTTTAACAGACGCAATAATGCAATCTCAAATTATTAGGTTCACTTTTTACTTTTCAAATTTTAATTCACGAGGGTCGTGGTCGCTGAGCCGGCACTGATGAGATTGCACCCCCGGGGTCTCCCGCTCTAATTGCTCGCGACTCGAAGCGCCGAGTCTGGGCGCCACAGTTGCCCCAACACTTGCCGTTTGCATTCGGCGCTTCCAAGGACATGGCGACGTTCACGCGGCGCGGGCGAGAAATCTGGGATTCCGTGTTGACCCGGGGTTTGGAGACGAGGGGGGCGTGGGCGGGGTAAGGAAGGAGCGAGTTGCTGGACGCGACGAGGGAGAGAGACGGCTTCAGCAGAGACTTGCCGAGGAGAGAGCAGCCGCTTTGGGCGCAGGTCCCGAGTGAGAAACGGATGCCGTGGGGGGGGGGGGGTGACAAACGCGGCTCCGCATCGATCGAGCGCGATGCGCTTGTGGCGAGAGCGCTTGTGGCGAGAGCGCGGGCAGAGAGGGAGCCGGGCGATCCGAAACGCGGGCGGGCGGGCGGGCGTGATAAAAGCTAAAAGCCGAGTATCCGCCGCATCGGGGATAAGCGGATCACGGCGAGAGTACAAAGCGGAGGCGGGAGAGGGGCGCCCAGAGAGACGGGGAAAGCGGGGGGCGGCGGGGGGCGGAGGATGGGGAAGAGCGGAGGGAGGAGAGACACGACGAGAGAACAGGGGGCGGGGAGAGCGGAGAAGGCGAGGTCGCTGCTCTCACGGCACCGGGGCGAGGTCGCGACCCCGCGGCCCGGGTGACGAGCAAAGGAGGCGCGCGCGTGTGCGGAGGCGTCAACTCTTGGGCCGGGACGAGGAAGCGGAGTGCACGTCGTCAACCTAGTGGACCCCCCCCCACCCCAATAGCAGGTGTGCACACTCACGTGCACACTCACGTGCACACTCACGTGCACACTCACGTGCACACTCACGTGCACACTCACGTGCACACTCACGGGGAAGCATTGAGTGTCCAATCCGTGCACACTCATGGGGAAGCGTTGAGTGTTCACAATCCATGCACACTCATGGGGAAGCGTTGAGTGTTCACAATCCATGCACACTCACGGGGGATTCGGCAGCTACGGAGGGCGGCGGAGAAAATGGAACAAAAGCTGAGGAGCAGAAACTCACACGGTCAGAGACGTCGTATGGTAGAAACAGCAGGGGGGGAGGGGGCAGGACGCGTCGTAACACGTTGCTGCAGCGCTTTCACGAGCGACGTGCTGATAGAATAAAATAAATAACAGAATTTTATATCATTATATCACCGGGGTCCCTGGGGCGGCGGCCGAATTATTGATGTCCTCCGCAGACCAATTAAGGGACCCAATTAGGGAATCTCTCCTCGGCTCGAGTGAAAAATTACGCGAATCTGAATCGTGGGGGTGCATGCAACGCACCGGAGAAACCCCCTCGCCAAGTCCGTCGCCTCAACCCCTCCTTCGAGCGCGGCCCGGAGGGGGAGCGGCGAGGTGGTGAGGTGGCGAGGTGACGCGGTGGCCACCAGCTCCACGGGCGCACGACGATGAGGGACGACGCGGCCCCCCGCGGGGTTCCGCGTCTCCCGGCCCCCCGCGCCGCGATCGGCCGCGGGAGGGAGGCGCTTTCTTTTCCACTCCCCCGGCTCGGCCGTCTCGGCGAGCCGCGGATCGTCACCAAACCGGGGCGCGTCTCCCGCCGTCAGCTTCTCCCGTCGACCGAGAGCGGAAGATGCGATTTACTCTTCGCTGGCCACGCGGAATCTCCAGACGATCGCGGACGGATTTGCCTTTGCGTGCGAGCGTGCGGGCGGGCGGGCGGCAGACCGACATCTCACTCTCCCCCCGAGCCGCGCCGCCGAGAGGCAGCGGCACATTCACGGGACTTTCACAGCGGCGGCAGCGATTATGCAAATGATCCTCATTATCTTAACTCGGATAAAATTCACAATCACTCCGAGCGCTCGCAAACGGCAAGCACGGCGACGGCCGCGGCGGCGTCAACAGGAGGTGCGTGCGCCGGCGTGGAGGTCGCGGTTCCCGGCATCGCGTTTGGAAGTCGCCGGGGAGGTAGAGCCTCGTTTCGTACGAAGCGTCGCAACGGCGTGGTGCCAATTTCCCCCCACCCCCCTACCGGCGCCAATCGTCGGCGACTTTTGGAGGGGGAGGTCGCGATCCGTTCCAAGAAGTGAATCCGGGCTGCTCAGCGGCTCAGAGACTCCGGTACCGGCACCGCCGAGATCCCGGGATCAGGCACGCATTTGCGTTCGTGGGCACGGCCGACGGTTACGAGGAGATGGAGCGATGAAACCGGCTCGTTCGCACGTGCCGCGCGGATCATTACATCTCAGGATCTCCCAAGTGGTGGGTGTGGAAACTTAGGGAGGCTTTCAATCAGCAGTGGATTAACCCTGGCCGATGATGATGATTCAATGCCCTAAAACATTTGCGTTGCTAGGATACCACGAGAGCTACAAACAGAGACGGTGGACTTGACTTAGACGGTTGCCGTGGTTACAGACGTGGCGATGCCTTGTCTGCACGCAGCGCGAGTTGTCAATCAAAGTGGTGGCCACGCCTCCAAGAGGGGGGGAGGCGGGGAGGGGGGGGGATCGTTGGGGGGGGTTGGGCTCTTGAGTGCTGAGAGACTCGTTAAGACCGGCACTGGCGGTCGATGGATCAAGTCCGATTAGTGAGAGGAGGGGACAGTGTTGTGGTGGCCAGAAACATCGTCGTCGCCGCCACTGGTACCGACACGGCCAGTAACGACACAACCAATCATCATCGCCATCGACGTCACAACCAAAGACACTTCCATTGTACTCGTCATCGACATCTCCAACATCGTGACCGACATGGCCGCCATCATCCTCAGGATCGACCAGACCCACAATCATTGTCACCATCACCCCAAGCCCAGCATCATCATCTTGACCATCACGACAGATGCTACCATCATCACCATCTGCATCAACATTAGCATCATCGTGACCATTACTACAGGTGACCATCATCACCATCTGCATCAACATCACCTCCCCAACCGCCCCACCTCCTCCCATCTTGATTTCCCAGAAGCCTCGGCTGTCACCCCGCCCCCCCGCCCCCCCGCTGCCCCAGGTAAACACCTCTGCATCTCCACCCTGCCCCCCACCCTGCTGAACCTCCTCGGGCACATCGCCTGCACTCACAGCGCTAGGGCTCTGCGCAGTGCAGACTCCTCTCTCCCCCACGGCCGTGGGAAGAGACAGCGGCAACAGGCGGCCGTCACCCCTCCTTCACGTCGGACTCGCTCCGAGCGGCATCTCGCTCGCCGGGTCAGGCGGTGAGCTGGGTGAGTGGTGAGCTGGGTGAGTGGTGAGCTGAGTGAGTGGTGAGCTGGGTGAGTGGTGAGTGGTGAGCTGGGTGAGTGAGTGGTGAACTGGGTGGGGGTGTTTGTGGGGGGAGGGGCCCACGCAAGCCGAGCGAAGCCACCAGCGGGCGAGGCAGAGTGGGACGGGAAACAACAAATAAATAAATAATCGGTGCCGCCCCCCGCCCCCCGCCCACTCCCCGGCCCGCATCGCGGCAACTACGCCGCTCACTCCCCGCGGGTCCACCTCGTCGCGGGCGACGCCGTCAGCCACGCGGCTCCGTGGGTGCACACGGGGGGCCACACACGGCGCCTCGAACGCTCCCGAGAAATTTCTCGCTTCTCTCGACGGAGCCGGAGCCCGCGGGCCGCCAGGTGCTCCGCCGACGTCGACGGAGCTCGGCTCGTTAATTACTTTAATTGGGAGCCAGCTCGTCGCGTGGCAACGGAGGGAGCGCACGGGAGAGAACGCTGGGCCGTGAGAAGAGGAGCCGAGCGCAGGTGAGCGAACGCTCACAACTTCGTCTGCCTGTACCCCGCACACCCCACTACCCGTACACCCCACCACCCGCACACCCCACCACCCGCACACCCCACCACCCGCACACCCCACTACCCGCACACCCCACTAACCGCACACCCCACCACCCGCACACCCCACCACCCGCACACCCCACCACCCGCACACCCCACCACCCGCACACCCCACCACCCGTACACCCCACCACCCGCACACCCCACCACCCGCACACCCCACCACCCGCACACCCCACCACCTGCACACCCACCACCCGCGCAGGTAAAACTACGTTCCCAGCGCCACCAACATTTGCTCCGACACTTACGCTGGCGAAGGCGCCGACAGCTGCTGCCGCTCCCCAGGGCATCCTCACCGAGCCGCAAAGGTCACAGCGTAGCCGGGGAAACCGGCTCCGACAACGCAGTCGATCACGAGCGGGCGCCGCTCGGAACATGATCCTCCCGGCGCCGCTCCTGCTGCTGCTGCTCGGCCACGTCCGCGACGAGGGGTCCCCGGGGGGGCCGCGGCGTCCGTGGCGCTGCCCGCGCCGCTGCGTGTGCGCCGGCGACATCCTCGACTGCGGCGGCCGGAGCCTGTCGGACGACGAGGCGCCGGCCCGCGTGCCCGACCGCTTCCACGCGCTCGACCTGAGCGGCAACGCGCTGACGCTCTTCCCGTCGTTCCTGTTCGCCGCGGGCGACGGCGCGGCGCTGGCGAGGGCGGCGCGCGTGGCGCTGGCGCGGAACCGCATCTCGGCGCTGGTTCCGGGGCTGCTGGGCCGGGCGGTGCCGCGCACCGAGCGGCTCGACCTCTCGCTCAACGCGCTGCGCGAGATTCCCCGCGACGCGTTCGCCGGGCTGGCGCGCCTGAGCTCGCTGGAGCTGCAGGGCAACGAGATCGCCCGGCTGCTCCGCGGCGCCTTCGGGGGCCTCCCGGCCCTGCGCCGCCTCTACCTGGGCGCCAACCGCCTGCGCTCGCTGCCCGTGCTGCCCGTGCTGCGCGCGGCGCCCTCGCTGGCGCTGCTCGACCTCAGCTCTAACCGCGCCCGCGCCTTCCCGTCGGCGCCGCCGTCCGCGCGGCTCCGCGCCGCCGCCGTGTTCCTGCACGGGAACCCCTTCGCGTGCGGGTGCCGGCTCGCTCGAGCGCTGGCGGCGCTGCGCGGCGCCGCCTACCGGCCGGTGCTCGAGCACTGGCCGGACTTCCGCTGCCTCGACGGGTCGGTCGACGGCGACGGTAGGATGAGGGACGTGGCGGAGTTTCTGCCCGACGACGGCGCCGCCGGGCCCGGGTGGAAATCGCCGTGCGCCGGGCGGCACGGGCCGCTCGCCCGGCCGTCGCTCCGCCACGCGGCGCGCGTCGGCGCCAATGTCTCCCTCAGCTGCCCAGCGACGGTGGCGCTCCCGGCGGGTGGCCGAGAACCGGCGAGCGTCGAGTGGGTGACTCCGGACAACGAGACCGTGGGCGGCACTTCGCTCGTCTGGGGAGCGTCGGCGGCCGGGAGACGGCGACCGCCGGGAGGCGCGTGGCGGTGGTGGCGACGGCGCACGGCCACGGCACCGGCCGGTTGCTGATCATTGGCGCGGTGACCTCCGACTCGGGGGTTTACTCGTGCCGGCATCGCCCAGGCGGAGTCGCGGCTCGCGTGCGGCTCACGGTGGCTCCGCGCCGCAATGACGAGAACTACTACGACGACGACGACAAGGACTACGACGACGAGGACGACAACAACGACGAGCACGAGGACGACGAGAACGAGCCGGCAGAGCCCGAGGTCGCCGAAGCTTCCGCCTCGTTCTCCACGCTCGTCACCATGCTCGCCGTGTGCGCCGCCAGCCTCCTGCTGGTGCTGGCGTACGTCTTCCTCACGCCCTGCCCGTGCCGCCACCGCCGCCGCTGCTGCCCGTGCCGCCGCGGGCGCTACGGCGGGGCCTTCGACTTCATCCCGGAGGCCGTCGCTCCGTTCCCGCCGGAGCCGAGCGCGGGGCTCCGCGCCGGAGCGCCGGCGGTGCGGCACGTGGCCTTCCTGGAGCCGTCACCTGGTGCCGCCGGTTACTAGGAAACAACCCGTGTATCCGATCTGCATCTCCCGTGGTTAAAACCGGCTTCTCAAACGGGCGTTCCGCTCGGTTCCGGACTTAATTTTGTTTCTCAAGTCCGGCTCTGAAAGTTGAAGCAAGCGACCAAGTTCACTCTCGCTGCGCAGAGCAGCTGGGAGAAAAGCGGCGACCACCTTACTGGGTGTGGACCAGAGGTCACTCGAAGGTGGCTCCGCTATAGCCACTTCCTGCGGCCCGTGTCCACCGTGTACAAGTCTATGGGACACTATGTGAGTCTCTCGTCCTGAATGTGACTCTACGGGTCTCTGTGCGAGTCTATGGTTCTGTAGGTGACTCTATGGGTCTCTGTGCGAGTCTATGGTGGGGTCACGGTACTGCTCAGTGAGAGTTCCGGGACAAAAGTGAGAAACAAGGAAACCATCTCCCGTGGGAGGCAATGCGAGAGCGGTGCGTGCAACCACGTGGCTCAACCCCGTCTCCCCCTCTCTCTCTCTCCGCCTCTCATGCCGCGTCGCTCTCAAGCCCCCCAAGCTCCATGTCGCTCCTCGAGCGACGCTTGACAAACGCACGGAGTGATGGAACAGGCGCGCAAGTCCTCCCGGCGAGGCGGCAGAGAGGACGGGCCACCGGGGGGGGGGGGGGGGGGGGGGGGAGAGGAAGGCGCGCGCGTATATGGCGCCCACCACGTCCCCGTGTCCCCCGTGTCCACCGCTCGCCAGGCACGAACAATAGCGTCTCTCTCCCTCCCTCCCTCCCCGGGGCCTCCCGTCTCCCTGGCCAACAAGTGTCGCTTCACGCCGAACAAACAAACAAAGCGCGCAACAAGAGAGCGACAGCGCCACCGGACGGCGCGTGCGTACGAGGGGGCGCGGGGTTGGAGGGACGTGCGGGTCACCGTGACGACGATTGTTGTAGTGGCGCGGTGGCCGCGGGAGAGCGACGTTTCTGGGGAGGTCGTTTCCCCCGCGCTCGCTCCCCCGCGCCCCGCCGATCGCCGTCTCGGCATCCGTCGGTTTAGAGGCGGAAGGGGGCGGCGCTTGAACGTCGGACACGGAGGGAACAACGGGGCCGCTCGGTGGCCACGGCAGTCGTGGGGCAACTGGGGAGGGTTTGTGTCGTCAAGGCGACCCACCCCGCGGCGGCGCATTGGCACCTCACCTCGGACAAATTCCGTCTCCGGGAACAAACAAAAATCGATTTGGGCGACGACCACGGCGCGACGGACGTGTGCCGAGCGGCTGCCGCAAGCGCCGCCCCCTGCTGCGTTGTCCTTCCCCCGCGCCTGCGATTGGCCACGCATGGCGTGAAAGAAGTCCAACATACACACACACATACACACGCACGCACGCACACGTACGTACGGACCACAGGTCGATGGAGGGAACCTCCCGATGAGTATCTCTGTGACATCTGCCGCCCTGTGAAGATTTACCAACGGATTCTTCGTTCTTCGTCTCAGGACGACACAAATCGTGCGACCGGGGTGGGGGGTAGCACCTGAATATTTAATTATTTAGTCCACACGACCCTCAATGATCGCAGCCAATTCCTGGGACCCTGCACCCCACACCACACCACCCCCATCGTGTCCGCTCCCCCACCCCTCGCGGTTGCTTTGTTCTCTCTGCGTCCCCCTCTCGCGAGCTAATTAAACGCCCTGCGGACCCCACTGCGCGACCCCACTCATCGCGCTCTTTGATGGCCCGAGCGAGCCACCAAGCCAGCCACCAAGCAGCCACCGAGCCGCTGATTGGCTCCCACCCGCCGGTGTTCTCGGCACCGCTATCTGGCGAGTGCCGATCCGGCGCAGCGCGCGGTACCGCCACTAGCCCGTTTCCATCGTGCACACGTCTACGGGACTCTATGGGTCTCTGTGCAAGTCTATTGTTCTGTTTGTGACTCTATGGGTCTCCGTACGAGTCTATGGTTCTGTATGCGACTCTATGGGTCTCTGTGCAAGTCTATGGTTCTGTAGGTGACTCTATGGGTCTCTGTGCAAGTCTATGGTTCTGTAGGTGAGTCTATGGTTGTGTAGGTGAGTCTATGGGTCTCTGTGCGAGTCTATTGTTCTGTTTGTGACTCTATGGGTCTCTGTGCGAGTCTATGGTTCTGTAGGTGACTCTATGGGTCTCTGTGTGAGTCTATGGTTCTGTAGGTGACTCTATGGGTCTTTGTGTGAGTCTATGGTTCTGTTTGTGACTCTATGGGTCTCTGTGTGAGTCTATGATTCTGATTGTGACTCTATGGGCCTCTATGTAAGCCTGAAGTTGTCCATGCCAGGCCGTTGTTATTTTTATTAAACCTCGCAACACTGCCGGTCCACTCCGTGTGAAATGAGAAGCCAGCCGATTGTTGTTTTTGTCGACTAAAGAGGATGACCAAAGTTGCCATGGCGACCCCGAACGCATGGACGCGCCGTCACGGTAACCGCGTGGTTGCGGGCGGTGGCGACGAGGGCCGGGTGCATTAGCGGTCCCGGCCGCGCGGGTTTGATCGGTGCCGCTCTCCACGCGGCCTTCTGCACGACGTCCAACGTTTTGCTCCAGAAGCTCCCAGGAGCTCCTCCATAGCGCGCACATCCAAACGGAGCCGTGCCTTCGCTCTCACCATCAACCCCATCACCTACGCTTGTGCACTCTGCACTCTGGAGTCGCCTTGTTTGTGTAGCCTTATTCCATTTAGTTTTTGTATCAATCAATCTTGAATCTTTCAAAAGCCACTTTTAAAGTATTCCGCCGGTAGGCCACGCGACTCGACGTGGCCCAGGCCACCCGCATCCCGTCGCCCGCGTGCCGTCTCCTGGCGATAGGCGGGGGGGAGGGGGTGGGGGGGGAGGGGTGGGGGGGGGGGAGAGGTTGGGGGGGGGCTGGCCCGCGACGCGCGGATGCAAGGACGCGACAACTCGACAGCTCCGTCGCGGAGAAACCGTTCCATTCTCGTGCTTCGTGACACCGAAGCGACCCCCGCGGCTCGATACGGTGTGCTGCTGCAAGGCTTGACACCCAGCAGTGGACGGACAAATAATTTTATGCACACAGTGCATAATCCACCCCAGAAACACGCACACACCGCTCAAGGCACAACACACCTTAAAAACATCATGAAACAGAGATCCTCCATGTTATGTGGTTGCCGGGATCTGCAAGGGGGCGACGGTGTGGTCAGCGCCACGCCTGGCTGCCGTGGTTTTCAAATTGCTCGTGCGAACACACCGCGTCAGAATGGGTTCAGATGCCACGTGCAACTGATGTCACAGAGCCTTAGCCGGGAATCAACTCAGGTTTCGCCGGGTTGGTCGTGTTATGTGCCAACTGCTGCGCCAACGCAACACAAAGATGCAAAGATATGCAACACACAGACACTCAAAAGATACGCGCACACAGATGTACACAAAAAGACAGAGATCCCCCGTACAGCCTTTAAAGACTGGTGGGGCAAGTGCTGTTAGCGAGCACCGATGAAAGCCGGCACGGCGCATGAGAGGGTGGGTGGCCAGCACCACACCTTGGTCTCCCCACACCAGGTACTCATTTTGTATAAGGGCGATCTTTGTATGTTGAACTTCTTTCGCAACGTACGTAGCCAACCGTGCTAATCGGAGGTGAGGCTGGGTCGACCTAGGGGAGGCCCAGGACCGATTCCCTGGTGTTGGCCATGAGCGGGAATCAAACTCGGGTCCCCGGGGTCGGAGCGCAACTCGATCACCGCCCCACCGACAAACACAAACAAGATCCCCCGTGTAGCCTTAACAGACTGTTGGGGCAAGTGCTGTTACCGAGACGCACAGAGCAACGTCACTACAGTCTGGAGCGGCGGCCCCCAACCTTGTTGGCACCAGGGGACCGGTTTCACGGACCCGGGGGGGGGGGGGTCATCATTGGGTCTTTCCCCCTTTTCAAAGAAGCTCTCCAGCGACGTTTGTTTTCTACTCATCGTGGCTACTAGGGGTTAGAGCTTTGTGGGCTCACCAACACCGTGACTGAGACGAGGTGCGCAGTGCAGGAGAGAGGCGCGAAGTGGTCAACAATAAAACAATGGGGGTGGGGGCCACGCGCGGACCCACCGCTCTCACCTCCTGCTGCTGTGCGGCCCCGTTCCTAACAGGCCACGGGCCGCTACCGGGGGTTGGGGACCGCTGGTTCAGAGCCAACTCCCTCTGCAACCCCCCAGCCCCCCCTCCCCCCGGCCCCCCCCCCCCCACTCACCTCTGGGTGGTTCCATCCACCAGGAGCTGCACGAGGATGCCGGTGAGGGACACGAGGATGGGGTAGTGATCCACCGTGTCCAGCCCTGAACCCGAGGGGGGGGGGGGGGGGGGACACGGAGATGTCACCGCACCCCCACGCAGGCAAGGCCGTTCTGCCAACCCCACGGCAGTACAACGGCCGCAGGACAACGGCCGCTCCACCACGCCGCCATACTTCACCACGCTGGTCAGCGCGGGTGGCTAAGGCAGGGAGTATTGCCATGCCCCTGCGTGACCTTGCCAATACCAAAACCAAAGCGCTACGGCTACACAGCCCACGAATAAAGCCTATTAAACTATTTGTTTATTTGACCATGTAGGGCCCACTGAGCTGTGTAGCGACCTGGCTGTCGCGAATGACAGCTCAACGGAGTGGCTTCTCATCACGTGGACATGCAGAGCAGCAGCCAAACACTCGAAACGCGTGGTGCTGGCCACCCACCTCCTCGACTGCCGTTCCGGCCTTCCTCGGCACTCGCCATAACAGCACTTGCCCCAAGTCTGTTAAGGCTTCATACTCTTAGTTCTTTCGGGAAAGTCACGTAGGTAAAAAATTCTATTAAAATTAATAAAAATAAAAACAATAAAATCACGACGTTCGGAGGCAACACAAGCTTCCGTCTTCAGGTGAAACTGTCACAGCAAAAAATCTCCGAAACGTCGTGATTTTTTTTTTATTTTCTATTAATTTTAATTTCATTTTTTACCTACGTGACTTTACCGAAAGAACTAAGAGTATGAATCCTTGCAGTCACGAAAGCTTCAAATCTAGAATCTGTTAAGGCTACACGGGGGATCTTTGTCTTTGTATGTTGAACTTCTTTCGCACCGTACGTAGCCAACAGTGGTAGCCCCTGCCCCCCCCCCCACTGCCCCCCCCTGCCCCCTGCCCCCCGCCCCCCGCCCCCTGATCCCCGCCCCCCGCACCTGGCAGACGGAGGTTGACGACTCGGTCGAACAGATTCCTCTCGGACGTCACGCGATTCAGCACCTGGTTGATGAGCTGTGAGGGGCGCGGGTCACAGAGGGTCACAGAGGGTCACAGAGGGTCACAGACGGGGCGGGGAGGGAAGCGGGGTGGGGGGGCAGCAAGGGCGTCACGCGAGCGGAGCGACGTGGGGGCGGACGAGGGGCGACGCGGGAGCCGCGACACCGGCGCCGCGCGTCAGACCGGCAGCTTCGTGTACAAAGCGGCCACATCGCCTGCAACGGACTGTTGGGGCGAGTGCTGTTAGCACCTGTGAAGGCCAGCACGGCACACTTGGGGGTGGGAGGCCAGCACCACGCCCAGCCCCTTTGTCTCCCCAGTGGCGATGTTTACACATCGCACCAGGTACTTTTTTGAGGCTGAGTCGACATAGGGAAGGCCCAGGAGCTGTTCAGATAATCGTTACTGGTGTCGGCCGTGAGCGGGAATCAAACCCGGGTTGCCAGGTTCGTAGTGCAGCGCGCTAACCGCTACACTACCATGGGGAGAGAGATACACCGCAAACTCCAAATGTACAGCAGCAGGCATCAGGGTCGGAATCAAACCCACGACCTCCTGTACACCAGGCGAGGTAGTTAACATCTAGCCACCGTGATGATGATGAGAGAGAGACACACTGCAAACTCCAAATGTACAGCAGCAGGCATCAGGGTCGGAATCAAACCCACGACCTCCTGCATACCAGTCGAGGTAGTTAACATCTCCTAGCCACCGCGGCGCCGTGCGTGACTCGTGCTGTTTGTCTCCCAGAATCGACCTGACACCAACCGCTCCCGACATCACCGCCGCCGGTTCCGCCCCCCCTCCACTCCCCCCACAACTCGCTCACCTGCGCCAGCCGTGTGAGCAGCAGCTCGGCCGAGGGCCGGCTGAAGTCGGTGAAGGCCTCTGGTGCCAGGCTCGTGGCCATCTCGAGCACGCGCAGCAGCGACACGGACAGGTCGAAGCACGTCGCACACACCTTCAGCTGCCGGCTGTCGATGTAGTTGCGCTCCGGACGCTCCGCTGTCTGCTGGATCTGCGGGTTGGGGGTGAGCGGGGGTCAGTGGGGTGAGTGGGGGGTGAGCGGGGGGTGAGCGGGTCAGTGGGGTGAGCGGGGGTCAGTGGGGGTGAGCGGGGGTGGGGGGTGAACAGGGTTGAGCGGGAGGAGGGTCCGGCGGTGTTCGAGACACAGAGGTCAGTGCCGTCTAAACAAAACCATTTGTTTTCCCAGGTAAGGCCCCCGCTGAGCTGTGTAGCTCTTTTTCCACAAATGATCGCTCGCGACCAAGTGGCTCATCTCCATCGCGTGACATTTATATAGCACCAAATACTCCTGAACGTGTGATGTTGATTCTAAATGTGGAGGAAAACTGACGATCCGGAGAAAATCCACACAACCACGGGGAAAGACACCGCAAACTGCAAATATACAG